CGCGATGCCGATTGATTTTCTCGAAGCGCGATGTGCTTCACTTCTCTTTTAGGTTCAGAGTAAATAAAGGTTTACAATTTAGAAATACTAGACATGACAGAACGCTGTTTGTGGTCAAGCATTGTGTATTTTTAAGAATTTATAGACACGCGAAGAGAGAGAGAGAGAGAGAGAGAGAGAGAGAGAGAGAGAGAGAGAGAGAGAGAGAGAGAGAGAGAGAGAGAGAGAGAGAGAAGTAATTATGGTATATGCGCAACGTCACTTTAAAATAAAAAGTAATATGTCACTCACTGATACGAGTCGCAACAGCAAAGTTGTACATCGCTAACTATACATGTTAAACTGTAACAATACAAAAATGTATACGATTATTATAGATTAATTATGCAAAATGGAAACTATTGTATTAAATATACTTTATATTTTATATTTAAAAAAATGGGTATTTATTAAAACAATTATATAGAATACTGAAAGTCTTTCTTTTAAATATGAACTCACAAAATTTTATACGTATGGTTTTGTCTCTAACACTTATTCGAATGCTCGTTGGAATCATTTGAATAAATAAAATAAAAGCACAGAACAGATGATTCATTTTGCACAAGTAGCAAATAACAAAAATGTAAGACACTTACCTTACGATTCCTCTGCCGTTGCCCGATGCCGTCTAGGCCTGCTCCTCCTCTCAGATTTTCTTGTTGCACTTATACTCACAGCACACACTCGCGAAATTTCGGACACTCCCGTACGCGATGTAAAATACCGTGAAATGCAGTAAGCGACGTTCTTTACTTCCTGCCCGTTCGAATTGCGAAGAACGACAGAGCGAATTACGCCGTGAACGCCGAAGTCGCACAAATATCTCTCTTTTCCCGAAAATGGAACAGATTACACGAAATCGATAGATAGTTAAAAGCGCGGTGCGTAAACGAGATGTAACCGCGACAAAGTACCACGGTTTACATTCATGTTTTAGATGAGTTGGTCTCGTGAAATATCTATATACACGTTGATAAAGAGCCGTCGCTTCAACATGCAATTCGTTTCTCATTACAAGTTTTAGAATCTTAATAATTAATCGAGTAATGTTACTTGTCACTGATAAAGGTGTACAAATCAATAGCGTTTATCCCTACATTCTTCGCGATCGAGTCTTGGAAACCGGTAACGTAAAAATAATATCACGCACGGAACAACTCTCGCTGCTGCCTGCCGGCTCGACGTTCGGCGAGCGAGTGATAAGTACGGAATTTTCCATTATGTAGATGGGCCAACGAATTCTCAACGTTTTTTTGTTGTTTTTCACTCGGCGCGGTGACGTACAATGTTTTTGCGTACCATCATTGTACCTGAAGCCTGAAGGTCGCCGCGCTCTCATTCGCTCGCCGAACGTCGAGCCGGCAAGCAGTGGCGCGAGTCGCTCCGTGCGTGATATTGTTTTTGCGTTGTTGGTTTCCAAGACTCGATCGTGAAGAATGTAAGGATAAAACGCTATTGATTTGGACTCCTTTATCAGTGACAAGTAACGCTAGATTAATTATTAAGTTTCTACAACTTGTAATGAGAAACGAATTGCGCGTTGAGGCGACGGCTCTTTATTAACGTGTACATGGATATTTTATATATACGAGACGAACTCATCTAAAATATAAAAGTAAACCGTGGTACGTTGTCGCGGTTACATCTTGTTTACGCACCGCGCTTTTAACTATCTATCGATTTCGTGTAATCTGTTCCATTTTCGGGAAGAGAGAGATATTTGTGCGACTTGGGCGTTCACGCTGTAATTCGCTCTGTCGTTCTTCGCAACTCGAACGGGCAGGAAGTAAAGAACGTTGCGTACTGCATTTCACGGTATTTTACATCGCGTACAGGAGTGTCCGAAATTTCGCGAGTGAGTGCTGTGAGTGTAAGTGCAACAAGAAAATCTGAGAGGAGGAGCAGGCCTAGACGGCATCGGGCAACGGCAGAGGAATCGTAAGGTAAGTGTCTTACATTTTTGTTATTTGCTACTTGTGCAAAATGAATCATCTGTTCTGTGCTTTTATTTTATTTATTCAAATGATTCCAACGAGCATTCGAATAAGTGTTAGAGACAAAACCATACGTATAAAATTTTGTGAGTTCATATTTAAAAGGAAGACTTTCAGTATTCTTTATAATTATTTTAATAAATACCCATTTTCAAAAATATTAAATATAAAGTATATTTAATACAATAGTCTGGATTTTACATAATTAGTCTATAATAATCATACATTTTTGTATTGTTACAGTTTAACATGTATAGTTAGCGATGTACAACTTTGCTGTTGCGAACCGTATCAGTGAGTGACAAATTACTTTTTATTTTAAATTGACGTTGCGCATACAATTACTTCTTCGCGTGTATACAAATTCTTAAAAATATACAATGCTTGGCCACAAACTGCGCGCGCGAAGCGCGCGTTTTATCGTTTCTAGTTGCGTATTAAAAAAAAGAGACCTGCTGAAAAGAAAAACCGTAGAACATCCTGAAAGAGGGAGATCGCGCTCGCGGATAGTAGAAACAACATTTATTGTCATACATATATACATGTCATAATTCTCGTTAGAGTTAAATACGGCTGTTCCTAGAGACGAATGAATTTAATTCAGTCAGTGCCTGAAGACCAACCCCAGTGAGAAATGATTCGTCGATCGACACCGTCGAATTGACGTCGACGACATCATTTCGACGTCGATCGACGAATCATTTCTCACTGGGACGAACCCCGAATTCAGTCGGCTTTTAATATGGACCCCTCTTTAATTACTCCGCCGACGTATACGCTTATCTATATTGACCGATAATTACACGAACCAATCGGATCGATTCATCTGATTCTTATGTTTAATAGCGCCTACTAATCGACAGTATGTAAAATGGTGTTCTTTCATCGAAATAAAGGAACAATATCACACGTCAATTTATCGCCTCAGGTTCGATGTAAAATTAACATTAGCAAACGCAGCATCGTCTGGAACGCACTTTGTATAATGAGCGTACAAGCGTACATTTTTAGCAGCGTGATCATCTACTTCTCAGATACTTTTTCGTGATCTCATTTACTTTTCAGACGCAACTACATTTATTGTCATAAAAATGTCTCATTATTTACAGCAAAATACCGACACTTTCAATATCTCGCGTCCCCGCCGCGTTCTTTCGGCACTTAAACGAAAATGTGACAAAACATTATCGTAATATCGATTAGACGTAATTCCACTTCGCATGTCTTTCAACTGTCGACCGAAATTGCGATCAGTGATCCAACTTCGTTATGATTGTACGATCTCATTGCCTCGGTCTCTTTCAGTCGTGATTTAAAATCATCAGGACGATCACGGCGAGGCCGACGTGACAGAGTCGCGAATCGCGCAATGATTCCACGCCGTTCTGGGTGTCCAGTTGCGTCGGTGCCGAATGCGCCGGGGCCGGTGCCGGCGCCGGAAACGCGGAGGAGATTCGCGACTTGTTCGCGATATTCGGCAATGAGTTTGACGAATTTCGTCTGGACATCGGCGTAGTGTGGCCCACGCTCTTCAGGGTCAGATCCGACTCCGCTTTGTCGTGCACAAACGAGTGTTTCTTCTCCTTCTTCTCCGTCTGCTTGCGCCAGGTGTGCTTCTCGATGATCTCGGTATGTCGCGTGGAGACTGTCGTCGGCTTGGACATCTGCAGCTCTGTAATTCGATTTCGGAGCAACGGGGACGATTGCGGATTAATTGTCTGACAATTGAAAGGCCGGATGGCATAAGTAAACATTTTAACGAGGGGTAAACCGCTGAGGGCATTGCGGTGTACAGATTTGCGGCATTACTGGGCATTACTAGGCATTTTTTGGGCATTACCGGGGTATTGTAAAGATAAAATAAGATATATATAAACAAGATAAAGTGATGCCCACTGGGCATTAGTGGGCGTTGGTCTACAAGATTTTGGTCAGCGGTTTCCCCCTCGCATTTTAACGACTTTAGACATAAATGATGGAACAAAATTCGTTCTCTTCTTCATGCACGTGCATATTTATAAAGATTATAAGATGACAAAATAAACAATTACTCTCAGCGGGATTTAACAAGATTGTGGATCTACAATATCTAATTTTTTAAATAAATTTCTTTACGACGTGTATATAGGAACAGTTATAACAGTGCATACTGTACCTTGTAGCCTTATCGACCCCTCCGTTTTTCCGAAAGCGTTTTCAGCTGCACACGTGTACGTGCCGAAATCAGATTTGTCAAGGTGTTTAACAGTGAGATTCAGCTGATATGCATAATCGTTGACGGTTACTTCCGATATATCGTGTTTCTCACCAGCGAGTAGTTTGACTCCTAAAGTAAATATCTTCAGGGATAATTCGATCGAGAATACACATTCACGTCTACATTTAAAAACAGAATGCTTTTTCACTTGAAGCGTTTAGGTGGGAGCGGGGGGGGGGGGGAAGAGGACGTGACAGAAGGATTTTTATTAATTTAAAATATTTTTATCTTTTTGATTAATTTAAAATATTTTATCTTTTTGATAAAATTATTAATTCAACGGAATGAATAATAAAACCGTCGTGGCTGTTCTCGCAGAGAGAATAACTATATTATTCGACTTTTTATCGAATTTTTATCAAATTGTAGAAAAATTTTTATAGTTTTTTAATTCTGCTGCGTATATGTATAATAAAGTCGACATGGAACCGTAATCCCGGTTGAAACGAAACGCTGTACATATTTTCATCGAGTTTTTCGTTAATCCTAGCATAGAGATTGCCGATAAACAAGTATAATAAGTCAATTAAATTGATAATTAAAGAGTCGCAAATGGTAACCGATTGCGAGATGGGAAAAGTAGATAACTACGCGTCTGAATGTTATATTAAGCCTGCGCTCCCGAAAGGAAAAGGCAAGGGATCTGATGCAGAGCGTGAGCCGGTGTTCCCTCACCGTTGTTTCTGTACCACGTGTTCAGAGCCTTCGGCGAGGACTCGACGTAGCACTGGAGGAGGACGTCGCTGTCGACGGGCGCCGCTACTAACTGGTTTGAGACTTTAATCAGCGGTTTGACTTTAACGAGAAAGATGCAATTAGTGTAAGTTGGCCGAACGTAAGTTCTGCTACCTCGTAGAAGCACGCGTACACTTACAACGGACGTTGACGTAATATCTCTTGCTGACCGACGGCGGCACCCCGTTCGACGCGATACAGAGATAAGATCCCATCTCCTGTCGCTGAATGCCCCGCAGATGAAGTTGCTCGCCCTCAAACGTACGCGCTGCTTTAACATTTCCGACGTGATAAAGGATGAGAGATTCGGAAATCCAGGTGTCTTTCAGACGCTCTCGGTTTTCGACACAACAATCTTATTCGTACGTACGATCATTTCTCAAATATCATCTCCTTTGTACGGAGGATACGCTACACCATCTATCTGCGCGGTGTTCTTTCTCGTAGGATAAAAAAAAGAACATTGCAATAAGCATAAATTGTTCTCTCGATATTCAATGAGAAATTCTCATTTCGGATCAAAATTTTGTCGATTAGAAAGTATTTCCTGTTACTGTAGACTAGTCCCGGGAAGAAATGAAAGTATCTCATTATACAGGGTAAGTTTTTTAACTTGAGACTGCAAATTATCTGGAAAAATAAGCATTGTACGAAAAAATGTTCCAAATAAACCCTCAATAATTTTCGACGGGGTAATTCCATCCCGCAAAAGTTAACCTACCTACTGCCCCTCCCCTGGGGGTGGGGCGGGGGGTAACTTTGAAATCTTAAATGGAAACCCCTATTGTTTATTATACTATTTTATTCTACTAATTAATGTGAACAACTTTTGTCTGAAACATTTGCCTAATACTTTTAGAGATATTCAAGAGAAAATTGATAACTTTTTCGATATTTAGCTCATGATATCTCGATAACTGTTTGTCGGAGGGAAAAGTAGTACAGGATTTTTTTACTTGGTTTGGTCCCAGGAATATGCTGTTGCAATAGCGCTCTAATTATCGAAAATGTTTGCGTATGTAAATTTTGTGGATGTTACAATACACAAAAATTTTCAAAAATTGGAGCACTATTGCAGCAGCATATTCCTGAGAACAAATCAAGTAAAAAAAGTCCTGTACTACTTTTCCCTCCGACAAACAGTTATCGAGATATCATAAGCTAAATATTGAAAAAATTATCAATTTTCTCTGGAATATCTCGAAAAGCGTTAGGCAAATCAAAAAATGTTTCCGACGAAAGGTGTTCATATTAATTAGTAGAATAAGATAGTATAATAAACAATAGGGGGTCCCATTAGAAAAATTGAAGGTGACCTTCACGTGACCTTCGAGCAACTATTCAAGGTCAAATTAATGACACCATCTTATGCCCCCCTCTAGACCGTACAACTTTTATTTTAAAAGTTTTTTTGTGTAATTGTCTGTTAAGATTAAAAAGACTCGCACTGTATAATGAGACTCTCTTTTCCATTTTTTTTCCCCCACGGGGTGTCTTCAGTTGTGAGGGGAAAAAGGTATTCTTTCCGTATATTTAAGTGCATTTGCAAGATGCATCGAAAGCGCCTCATCGTCGTGGCCGGTAATTAGAAGCTTTCGAGACAATATGAAAGCAGAATCCCGACGTGTTCAGCGGAGAGAAGACGACGGAGGCATCCTGGCGGGATGGAGATACCGTGGCAGCGTAACACTCTCGCGACGCAATGTACACACTGGATATTGCAATCGGGTACGCGAGTCGATAGAAGGGGGGACCACGGCGAAGAGGAAATATATGTAAAGTCAACATCCATCACTCACAGTCAGGAAGGCTAATCGGATGGCTGCTTTTCCGCGGGACACGCGGGCGCGGTGCGGCGGACACCGACGACGGGGCAAACCCCGCGTCGTCGTACACCGCCGCTCTTTTAAAAGCGATCCGCTCGCGCGGGAATATTTCATCTCGAAAATCACGCGCGCGCGCGCACACCGTACGAATCAATTAAAGATAAATCGCCGGACGTACGGCTTCGTTTAGCCACGATCAGTCGCGTTCCCTTAGAGACGGCGTCATAATCATTAGTCATAGCCCGACGAGACGGTGGGAATTTTCATCTATTTTCCACGGTGGCGCATCCCGCGTTTAATGACATCCCCTTCGGTGGGACCCATGGTGGAATTTTAATCCAGCATTTTAAGACCGCGACAGATGGCCTCACTTTCACGCGATATAATGCAGGCATCACCCTTGAATTAATTAACAACTGATCAAGCATGGATTTCTATTGTTATCCGCGCATTGTACTTTTCAGTCTGAACAATCGCATAACAAGCGTGTTACTGTCAACACTAATTATTCGGCATTTTATATATTGCGAAACGTGTCATTGAGTGCGTTCCGGCAAGACACTGGCTACCGTAGCGCGCTACAGCTTTTTTGCTGCAATTGTAGCGGCGCCATGGGATAAGATATATTTACTTTTATATAAATTCTTCTTTTGTAACGTAATTTCATTTTTTTTTCACGCGCTTCATTCGATTCCCTCGCGCGCGTCCGTGAAAATGCCTAAGGACTACTTAGCATCGTACTTCGCTTCACGCTGTTCTCGTCCCTCAGCGTGATGTTTCGGCCATCCTCCCGTCGCCAGATCACCACCGGTTCTGGATTGCCGGTAGCCCGACATCGTAACAGCAGATCGCCGTTTTCCTTGGTGGTCAGCATATCCGCGGTGTTGTCCAGGTCCATGATATCGGGCGGTATCACAACCTTCATGTAACCGGTCTGCGCGCAAGATTCGCATTTGTTAACTGTTACGTCCGACAGAACTCAATTTAAAATTAGCGTGAAAGAAAGAGTTTCAATATATTGTATTCAAGTCAGTGTGTCCAAAAGTTTAGTGTACTACTCAGACGTTTAGATACTAGCTAATATCGTCAGTATTTGGTTTCGTTTTCGGATATAGAGGAAAGTCCCCTACTATGAGGCAGCGGGGTTTCTGCGAAATTAATAGGCATCACCTGTTGGTTTCACTATGAATTTATTGCCCTCGGAGTGAAATCTGTTTAGTGGAAAATCGATCGTTAGGTCGTGTAATCGTCGCGAAAAAAGACTTGCGATTGAATTTGGACGTTGAAATCCTGCTATCTCGTATCAGAATCCTATCTCGTAATAGAGGACTTTCCTCCACTTATAAATGTTTCCGAAAAGAGCAAGAAAGTAACCAAGGTATAACCTGGATAAAACAAAATAATGAATTGAAAAATATAATTCTAAGAAGAATGAAAGAGATACGTTGAATTGACTTTGCTCTTTCGTTCGCGAGCTCGGGTCGGAGAAATTTCTACAAATCTAGCTGAATTAAAAAAAGTAGCTTATTAGAAAAGAACTTTATGCCGCGACACGAGCGTTCTCCGGCGCCGCGCTGAATGTCCTCCGTACGGACATACGCGGCGTGTACCTTGCATTCACGCGGCATTTGCGTCATACAGCGGGGTCGGAACGACATATCGTCCCCTATTCGGCGGCAACGTAGAACGTGATAGAGACTGTCGCGCTAATGTTCAACAGCTCTACTGACCTGGCTCCTCATAGGATCCGTATTAACTTGACACATGTACGTGCCGGAGTCGTTCGGCTGAACGTTAGTCACGTGCAGCTTCCATGTGTTATGGCCGTTGTGAGTGACGGACAAGCGTGAGTTGTGCGCCACCATGTGCGTGTGAATGGCCAAAATCGCACGCGAATCCGACTTTATCCAGGCGACCTGCGAGTGACGTGACAAAGGTGCTCATTTCGCCCGTGTAGGGACGGGGACCATATATTTAGATACGGTACAACGCTCGGAACAATAATTATAAAACGCACCCGATATATTGCGCGTAAATAATTCTATGTTTCGCGTACTCGGTGCATTCGCTGTGTTTGCGAATTTGTTGAAACTTGGCGAATAACGAAATTTGCACGCGGGGACGAATATATTCTGCAAATATTCTTCGGCAATAGACATTTCTTTACAAACGTCAAATATCCCTTTATAACTAGTCGTATCGAATATCGAAATATTTCCAATACTTGAAAATATACATTTAATTTAGCCCGCAACGTTAAGTAGCAATATTTACATTAGCATTTATATAGCAAATCATAAATGTGCATGTATTGACTGATAAGTAAAAAGAATGATGAAGGTTTTCCACGGGAGTCGAATGTCTTCGATGATAAACGCATTTCAAACACAATTACTATGTATAATTACTACAGACAATTTGATTAGAAAGTATAACGATTAAAATTCTAAGATACTTCGTACGTCAAACGATTATGTTTTTATTATCATATGATACGGTGCGTGGAAATAAATACAGTCTATTGAAGAAACTGTTTAAAAAACCACGGTAGCAACACCCACAGAAAAAATTTCCGGATTCAATACTATTACACTTCAGTGTATCATAAAACAGGATCGATATAGCGCCAATCATATTTATTATAGAGAAAGGAACATTTTAATCTCAAATCAAAAATTCTAAAATCTAGACTAAAATGGTAGTATGTGTCGTCTTTTGTCGAGTATCGTGGTGCCAGCTTGTACGTTGTAAGATGGAGGGGCAGTTTATTCTAAACGCAAGAATATAAACTTACGTTTATATAAGTTACTCTTGTCTCAATATAGTAAGTCAATCTTTTTTCATTCGACAGAGGAGAATAAGAATTGTTGATTTTATTATGATATTGTCTTACTTTTATACTAAATGAAGTTGTGAGAAATATAAGTGCATCAAGAATACCCAGAGAACATTACGTCGTCTTAAAGACATCTTAAAGACGTCTTGAACAGTTCTAAGATGTCTTGTGAAGTTATCAGAAAGACGTCTTTTTGACATCTTTAAGACTTGTCTTAAAGACGTCCTCGAGACATGTAATGTGGGCATATCGACTGATCTTCGCAAGGTAGTATCTCGATATTACGCAATTTCTGGTTTTAGGCTGCGATCAAGCTGCCGCTGCAAACGATTCGGAGCGTTTCTCTTCTCCTTACTGAAAGAGAAGAGAAGAAGAATACTTCGTAGCATTAGAAGCGACAACTTGTTCGCGGCTATTCCGGCCTAGAAAGAGTGTTTAAGCACAAAAACCCGAAAATTATAACGGTACTAGCTGCGCTTACACTTGGCGCGAGACACTACCGTGTCTCGTGATAAGATACGACTTTGCGAAAGAGATTGGTCGATATTTAAAATAGTTTCTTATTCGTTATAATCTTAGCTTCTTCCCTGTTTCCTCACGCCATTCAAGCTCTCCACTTTGTCCCAAGAACACGATCGTTATACACTACATGTTGCACTACAAATCTCATTATTCTAATTTCATAAACTTTTCTATTTTTAAAAACTTTCAAAAATTGTCTCGGCAATATATGTCACAGATGCTTTAACGAGTGTATTAATTAAAACTTTAAAAGTTATATGAACACTATTTGACATGTAATCAATATTTTATATTTATATAAGACGTCACAAAGACATCTTTTTGACAGTGTCTTAGACTATTTTTTCTGACGTTTTGTAGACGTCTTTTAGTAAAGTTTGAAAGACGTCTCGTTTAAAATCGTTTTTAAGACGTCGTTTAGACACGCATGTTGTCCGGGTACTTTTTGTCTCACAATCAGTAACAGAAATCCTTTCTGAGGGTGAACGATTTCGCATTTCACAGTTGAGAAGTAGGGACTAATAATAAAGTAGTAAAAACCAATAAATAATGAATTAATGTGTACATTTTAATTAGACGATATATAGATCCCACAATTTCCGCGGTTTATAACAAGGCCTCTTTATGTAACGGCGACAAAAGAAAGCTGTAAAGATAAATAACGCGGGATACGTGAAAGTGGTAGGAAAGATTTTTATTCTTTCTGACGCGAGTGGGAAAGATGGTTGTATTCCGCATAAGGGAAATGGGAGGAGCTTGGAGCCCAGCTCACAGGAAAAGCGTGAACTCTTCATTAGTACGGCGCCGAGGTGGTGCTTAAAAAGCGTCGCGATGCTTGCGAAAGGCGCTTATCGGTATTCATACCGAACCGCTGGCGCGGCATTGGGAGGTTGCACTCTCAAATTCCGCTCAGGTTTACGCCGCTGCAACCCCTATTTCGCGCTTACAGGCCCCTTCTCCCTGGCTAGGGTCGGCAAGCTCGATCTGTCATATTTCAGACAGCAGCGGAGCCATTGAACGGGATAAAAGGGCTTTTAAACCGCGGACAAGAGCCCGCGTCAACGCGTTTCGATCGGCAATAGAATTTAAATAGGTAATATATATATATTAAGTGTACGTAAATACGCAAAGAGAGAGGGTCGACGTCTGCCCGTTGGGAACAAAACTTTTGTCGCGATGACCCGCACGGTGGAATCTCCGTGTGATCCTTCGCGGATCAGAAGCAATCGGCCCAGGTGTCCTTATAGACATCCGATATGTCTGAGGCACGCGGTTTGCATGACACTGCATCTCAGGGTATTGCATTTACGGAGGTATTACGTGGCATTCAGCTACTAAGTTTAGTTGTGTTCAGATATCCACATGAGATAATATGTCGGAATTCGCGTCTCCAGACGTGCCCGCGGCCCGCGATACGTATTTACGAAAGGACATTAATTCCGAGATGAGATATTCTACGTGTTTTTTATATACACTAAAAAAACCTATACCTCTCAATCAATTTTGAAATACTTCACCGACGTAACACTATGCGTGTCTAATTACAAGGCTTGAGTTTCCTGCGGAGAGATATAGCATCGGAGGCTTCGGATACGGCTGCACCGATCGTTATACGGGACTGCAGTAAAGGCTTAAATTTCTGAGATTAGACGCTACCGGATGCACGGGACGCGGTTATGTGTAACGCGACTACGAGTTCGAGGCAGAGCTTGCCAAATTAAACAGTTTTCGATGCAGGGACGGGAACGAGCGCGTTTTTGTAAAAGGTTTTCGTTCCTCACCATCGCGCAAACGTGCCCCTCTCTCTCTCTCTCTCTGTTGCCTGTATAGAAAGTGCACGCATGCTGCAGAGAGAAATAAAAAATAAAGTCACGTAAAAAATGTACATTGGACGTGATTAAACAAAACGGAGGAGGAGAAAAAAGGAAAGTGAAAAAGATAACATTTTGCATGCGCGCACGCGAGGTTTCTTTCTATGCCAACAATACATCTAAACGAGATGGGAAGTGAAACAAGAGGGTAAATGTTATCACAGTAACTGATCGGAAATTGAACGGAGCTGAGATTGGGGCTTCTGACTTCGCACGAAAGTACACGATTGCAGATGTAGAAAAAAATGCGTACAAAAAGATGCACGGCGAGTCATTAAAGATCTTTCCGTTTGCGGCTCAAATTCTATTTCTTTTCGCAGCCTCGCAGTTATCAAGATGTGACCCAGACAATCATGCATGTCTAAACGACGTCTTAAAAGAGACTTCTTCAAGACTTTACTAAAAGACGTCTATAAGACGTCAGAAAAAAAGAGTCTTAAGACATTATCGAAAAGATGTCTTTGTGACGTCTTATATAAATGTAAAATATTGATTTTGTGTCAAATAGTGTTTATATTATAGCCTTTAAAGTTCCAATTAATGTTATACATTTGTTAAAGCATCTGTGACATATTGCTAATTTATTTTGGAAAGTTTTTTAAAAATAGAAAAGTTTGTGAAATTATAATAATGAGATTTGTAGTGCAAATATTCAATGAACAAGATAAGTGTGATATATTTCTCGCTGGGGACCATGACATATTATGTTTACGCAAAATATATTAGGGGAAAAGAGATAAATTAAATCTCTAAGACAAGTCTAAAAGACATCGAAAATCGGCACATAAGACGTCTTAAAGGTGTCTTTAAGACATAATGTTCTCTGGGGACAATTGGCTAAACTAAATAAATTCTGTTCTTGTTGTTAAGAAGTGCATACCGCTTGCTTCTAAAATATCTCAGATTTCTCTATTATGCGATTCGTTGGAGACGATAGAATCTCATTAGTGCAATGGTTTAACGCTGTTAGTTGCAACATTGCGTCTATTCTCTGTACGGTTTTCCATCTAATCGCCGTCTGGTTGAAGTGCACGAGATATAAACGGTGTAGCAAAGTCAGCACGAGTCGCACGGGGAAAAGGAGAACGAAAAGGGGGAGAAGCGGCAAAAATCAGGGCTATTCAGCGCCGCTATATTAGCGGATCTGATTTATGTCCTTTCTTCCGTCGTTTCCTTTCTCTTTCCGGCGAGAGAGAGTGAGAGAGAGAGAGAGAGACAGAAAGGGAGAGGAAGAGAAGGACCCTTCGGCAGAGCCGCGAGCGACAAGACGGCGAGCATCTCCACGGACACGCTCCAATGGCGTTAGAAACGCGATAGAAACGATTGTCGCGATCTGAGCACGCAATCAAAACTTGGACTTCTTCTTGAAAGTGAATTACTCGCGACCAGGGTCCGTCCCAGAAGAGATTCCCTGGATTCTGGCGCGTACGACCGAACGCTTCCCTCACGGACGCACGTACACAAGTCAGCAATAGTAGATACACGAAGAGCGAAGCGTTTCCGCATTAAATCGCGGTCAATGTTGACACTGGACAACGATTGTGAAAAACAAGCGACGTGCCGACACTGCGGCTAAATTGCTAGCAAAAATTGATAGCGTCCAAAAAAAATTTATGTACAAATACTTTCTCGAGGCCTCCCGGAACAAACACGGCAGATATGGAATTAGCCTGTGGAGATGGGATTTTCTTCGATAAAAATTTCACGGTGGTTTTCGAGTAATCAAGCAATCGAAAATAAAGGGTTTTTCGCGAGTAATCAAGATTTGAAAGAGCAAACAGATAAGGAATCTGAACTGTTCAGCTAATTTTAAGTGTACTTCAACAGAATCCCCATCTGAGAGGTTTAATTGCAGAGATATTGAATGATCAAAAAGTTAGAGAGCAATGATAAATAATAACGCGAAGAAAAAGTCGATCCCAAATTCACCGCTGATTTTGTCATTAACGTTTGATTTATTTCTGTCTATTCAATTTGGGTTGTGTATATTTGCAAAATTAGATTCGAGAAGTCGCGCACGTTTGAGATAAGATTCTCGTTTCGTACGATTCTCTTTTCGTTCGATCTTCGCGTATCTGTAATCATTGTAATGTAAAAATATTGCGGATGAAAAAAATATAGCATAATCGGAATAGATAGCTTTGCTGATACGAAAACGATCGAAAACGTTATCTCAATACGTTCTACCGGTTTTGTCTTTCTATCGTTGGAAAATGCATCGAATACTCGGCGGTTTCACTGGATTTGCATTGTTTCGTTATGCAGATCTCAAGGAAAACATCCTGACATTTGTAGCGTCGCTCGCGGCTTCTCCCTTAGGAGTTCAAGAAACAACGATCGAAAAAGTCAACATATCGTACACGCCTGACATTTTTGCGAGAGCTAAGTTATCTCTTTATGTGTAAATTGTTCTTTCCTCTTATGACATGACGTAACATCATTACATACGATCTTATTCGGTAAAATCGATCCTTTGACAAATAGAACCGTTCTGCGCAAATTCAATTTTAGAAAATATAATTTAAAACTTTGTAAAATCTTAAACACCAATATCTTGTCTAGGAAACAAAAAGAATATAATTAACGAACATACGAAGGAGTTTAACCCATTCTAGGCCGCCAGCAATCTACGGGCTGTGGACTGCTACACTGAGAATCGAAAAACAGTAATAGTCCCTGAATTTTTGCTCATTCTCAACTTTTAATCTTAATACGCAAATGAGTGATGTGCAATTCCGTAACCATTACTGTTGACCACCAGCATTAAAATAATATGTAAATAATATGTAGCCTAACAGTAGGGTAGAATAATAAACATATATAAATAGTTAGCTCAGCGTTAGCGTACTAGGCTAGTAATCGGAAATCTTAGGTTCGAATCCCACATATAAAAAATTTAGAAAAAAGAACTAGTGGAAAAGTTTTTTATTTTCAATAAAATCTTGTACCAAAACCATTGCTGGTTTTTATCGTAATGATTGTGGAAATACAGTACTGATTCAATACTGGATTAGTAAGTAACAGTCAATCAGTTGATCTACAATATTCATTACTGTAGAATCTGTAATAGTTATTGTAAAATCCGTACTGATTACTGGGAGAATGCTTACTGTAGTGGTACGTAATGGTACGTAATGGTTACTGTAAGAAAGACTAAACGTTAAAAACGAGGAAAAATGTTATAACCATCACTGTTTTTCAGCTCTCAGTGTAGAAATAAGAAAATTCAGGACATTAGATCAACATATGTACAATTACGAAACCAAATTTTCATACTTTCAAAATGGCAGACTAGTGTGGTAGACCAAATTAAAAAAGAAAGTTGTCTTTTCCAGTGAAAAGATAAGAGAATTATATACAGGGTTTTAATGGGTCGCTGATCACGAATCTTACAATCAGATTCCCGAAATTCAAGCTGGCGGACCCAATATGGCCGATCGGATCTCGTCAAAATGCAGATTATTCGAAGAAAACTCGTTTTCACTCGACCCACACGCGTCTAAACTCCTTAAAGCTACGAAATTTGGGCAAAATATGGAATATGTGGAAAAAACGTGGAAAACTAAAGTTTTACAATCAAAATATAGAGTGGCAAATTTTACAGTTTTACCATATTGGGTCCGCCATCTTGAATTTCGGGAATCTAAATGCATATTCGTGATCAGCGACCCACAAAACCCTTGTGTAAAACTTTTCACGGGAAAAAAAGTTTTTAAATTTCGGTCCACCGTATTGGTCTGCCATTTTGAATGTTAAGTGTGGAAAAAATTTGTTTTCATAACTTTGCATATTTTGATCCAATGTCCTGAATTTCTTAGTTTCTGGCAGTCCACAGCCCGTAGATTTCTGGCGGCCCACAATGGATTAATATGATTGTGATAAAATATTAAAGGTCAGTTTCACTTGATTCTCCCGTTTCTTCTTAAATAATAAGATGGAAAATGATAGGGAGTCGACTGAACTCTGGTTAACAGTTAACCGACGTTTGTGAAACTGGCCCTAAATTATTTTGACCTTTTGCTCCAGCGACATTTCTTATGAATACGCCCTTATTGCTCGTCGTTCCTTCGTTTTTTCTTTCGCTACAGAATTAAGGCTCACAAGATTAACTTATGTATTTATAGCATTTGACGGCGCATTGCTTCGCAATCGAGTGTTTCGAATGACCATTGCCCGAGACACGTGACGATAATACTCGCTTAATAATCGAGCGGTGGAATAATATGGTTCCACGTGGTTACGTCGCAATTACTCGGCAATACAATCCGTCTAGGCTGCATCCGGTATATTAAGCGAAAATACGATCTAGGCCACACTACTTACTATTTCGAGCGGTGGCCCTAATCGACTGGCTAATTACAACACGCGCGCGCGAGCAGCACGAGTACATTTACCTTGTAAGACTGGAGATGATTAACGACGCAGGTGAAGGAGACGTCGCGACCTTGGGTGACCGTGTGATTTTCCAGGAGCGCCAGAAATTCGGGCAGGACCTCGGACTTGGGCGGCGTTTGTCCTGAATTATGCAATTAGCGATTATGCGCCAGCGATTACGGCTAAAACGATCGGCCAAGTTAATCCTTAATTAGCCCACCGCGCGCGGCCAACTTGCCGCGTCGATACGCCGCCGTTACGAATATGATGTATGGACGGCGCATTAGGGAAATTTCGGGGAAAACCCGGAATACAAGAATGCCCATCACCTTTTTGTGCCGCGCGAGCAAAATTTAATCTAGATCGCCGCTTTACTTGCGCATGTAACGAGCGACCGGTCGACCATGTCACCGCGCGATAACCATAATTCTTTCGGCACGTCGCCCCATATGACCCCGAAGAACGTTCATTTTTAATGAAAATTTATCTTCACGCGAGTTGCACACCTCTCGTTGTTTTAATACGATAGATAAAAATTGACTTGTACTCTTCGATTTATCATCGCTCGCGAATTGGCTGTAACGTTTTACAACTTCTTAGGCTGTTTACTTTATTATCGTACAAATTTTCTGAAACGTTCCGTACAATTTATTATGCAACACGCGGGAGAGTCGGAGTGTCGCGTAATGGAGTGTCGATTAACCGCGTCAAACCCTTATGGACCCCGTAACCTTTGCCTGTCGCGATATTCACCCCTCGCATTCTCGCGCGGCGGATGCCAATTCGATGTGACGTTTCACGCAGGGGAGTCGCGCGTTGATCACTCTCGCGGTAACGGAATCCAATCTAATAGGTAAAACGAAAAAAAAAAGAAGGGAAGATACATGCTCGCTGTATCCCTTTCGGTTAACTTAGTCCGAGGCGATCACGCGAGCACGAAGGAAAGGGGGGAAAGTTTCGCGAGAAACGGAATGTTTATTAATCACGTGGAACACGGCCGAGCGAAAGTTCGCTGACTTGTGGAGTAATCATCATCTATCATGATCTATCGCGTGGAAAGGCTACCCCGAAGATCGGGTAATATTTTTGTTGGCCCGCGCACATGCGAGTCGAGTGCTCGACCACCTATGCATTGTGATTTGCGCCTGCTTGTACAATGAGAAATCGACCGGACGTCGCGTCGAAATAAAAGGGGAGTCTCAATAACTATTGAACAGCAAGGAGGAGGAAATTTTCACGATCTGCGAATCATATCTCCCATACATTCTGTTTATTTTTTGTCTCGTAAAAACTCAATGTTCCACAAATGAATTTTACGGAACGGTGCGTTTCCACCGCACTCGTAAACTCCATGAAATTTCCTTAATTTGTTTCGTTCTCTATTCATAGCATATCTCTATTCATACGCAAATGTCCGTAAGCCTAATAAGATAAAATATTATTTTTCCAAAGGAATTTCGCGATTCACAGTTATGCGATAAACGAGCAGCGGTAATAAATAAATAAGCTTAACGATACAAAACGCGAGCCCGTTTCGCTTTCCGAGACGGGAGAGAAGTCGGGCGGGCCTGCGCTACTTTGCAATTCCCGCTTCTTTTAAAGCGGGGATTCTTTTTAAGCTCCCGCGGAAACGCGAAAGGCTACCGATAGCGACGTCTTCGGAGAAGGATTCTATTTGATTCTTACCGTAACTGGAGCAAAGAAAGGCGGCGCAAAAGTAACGGGCACGATACCAGTCGCGGCGATCCCTGTGTAGAAGGGAAGGAGGGAATTCTGTCATTTCGTGCGGATTAAAAACTTGTAACTTTTGCTTCTCCTCGCAACTCCCCCGGACGATTTTCTCTCTTTTTTTTTCCCCCTATTTCTCGCAAGGATCTGCGCGTCACGGAAATACTTACCTTACCGAAGCGGTATATTCGACTCTTACCGAGACTGGTGTGGAGGAAGGCGACAATAAGGGCGCACAGTGCGAAGTTCCGCGATGCCATGCCATAGGGTAAGCCATACGCCATACGTACTGAAACACAAGGTGCGAAATACGTTAAAGTGGTGTGTTAAATGTATTAAACGAGCCGACCAATATCACGTTCGGATTAAAAGCCTTAATTAAAGTGTTTTTTTTCATTTGTTTGTATTTGCAAGTTTTTTTTATTCATGATAGTTATTTAAAATACTAATACCTGTAACTTTGCGTAAATAATAATTTATTTACAACAAAGTTTACAGTTCGCTGATTTAAAATTAATGTGAACATAGACGGGGTCAGCGCGATGCATTGAAAATCACTTTATTAAAAATAAAGCAATTAACTTTGGATTTAGAATGTTTTGAACATCAATTACGATGATTTTCAACTATGCGATTTCTCTTCTGCATCAATGGACAATAATTTACAGATATGAAAATGGATAACACAAATAATTAAAACGAAACGAGACAAGAAAAATATAAATACAGAAACTTGAAACGGAAAGAACTAGTACACGTTTGTTCATATTTCTATCAAAATTTGCAATATGTTAATTCACAAATAGCTAAGAACCAGCACAAGCTGCAAGGCCAGAGATAGAAAAGTTCGTTTACGCCTCCTCGTCACTGGAAAATGTGGCGATATAAAAACTATCAAAAAAAGCCGATGAAAATTACTGCAAAAAGTTATGTAAAAGTTCAAAAGCCAGTAGCGTTGTCGATTAAAAACTGGCAGATGCGATATAATAATTAAATTTTCTTATCTCACAAATTTAAATCAACTGAACGAAAACAGCCGTGATTAGAATTTTCCCTAACACACTAAATTTCGCGTGAGAGGATGTGCGCGAGGGAGTTGTCACGATGAGGCAATCGGGATGAGAGAAGAGGGAGATCGGGGGTTGAAATCGAGAATTTCGCGACGTCGTCGACGCGTGCTCGGAACGAGGATACGGACGGAGGAGGAGGAGGAGGAGGAGGAGGAGGACGAGGAGAGGAGAGGGTCAGCCCCGAATCGCGTGAATATTAACTCGACAGTTGGTCGCCACATAAACGCCAACCCACTGATATATCTCCCGTTCGCCCGTCGCCGACCGGCCAGCGCCGCAATAATACTCTCGAATGGCAATGGAGGTGCACCCTCTTCTCCGCACCCTCTCGCGATACGCACACTCCGCATCTCGGGGGCACACGTGCGCGCGGATGCGTGCACCACATACGTATGTAACGACCGCAGTCCGATGGTCAAATGAAAATTTTCCTCGCTCCCCTTTGTGACTTGGGTCGATCTTGCCCTCGCGTTCGCCAACAATTCCGCCGTACGTGAAGAAAGTCGCGAACAATGATAAATTAAGGGGACCCTAAAGCTGTCTGTTTTATCGACATTCTTTGTCAGAAGTGATCTTTTAATTGTCTTTATAGAAATGCGCAACTCTTTCACGGAATTAAAGTACGCAGCAAAATCTAGACTATCGCCCGTAATTAAGATTTGCGATTAAGTAATTACATTTGTACACGTCTCTTCGAGACTGCTCTCGATTGAACGGAGAAATCGTTGCCTTACGTAATGAGTCCGCAGAGTGATACGCAAAATGTATAGGAACAGTCACTGTGAACGGAATAATTTGAAATACTAAATATGGAATTTTCAGTTTCGTAGACGGACAACGAACTCTCGACGTTCGGTGTTGTTTTGCTCCCCGCGCGACATTCCCCGTATCATTGTGTACGCGAAGGTCGCCGCGCTCTCATTCGCTCATCGAGCCTCGAGCCGGCAGGTAGCCGTGAGAGTCGCTTCGTGCGTCGTGTTACTTTTGCGTTATCAGTTTCCGAGACGCGATGGGTGTGGGGATAGAACGTTTGTACACGTTTGTCAGTAACAAGTAACGTTCTTCGATTAATGATTAAGTTTCTACAATGTAACGATTTGCACATTGAGGCGACGGCTTTTTATCAACGTCGATATTTCACGAGGCTGAGGGCTGGTTGTTCCTGTCTTTCGATAAAGTAACTAATAGTTAGATCATATATACGTGTCTTTGTTTTTCCCTCGCATTAAACAAAGAGAGGCATGTAATTTAACTACTAGTTAGTTTACCAAGAGAGATTGGAAAAACCAAACGTAACTCATCTAAAATATAAGCGTAAACCGTGATACTTCGTCGCGGTTACTTCTCGTTTACGTATCGCGCTTTAAATTTTCTGTCCATTTCAGTGTAATATGTTTTTCATTTTCGAGAAACGAGAGAAAATATTGGTGCTTTGTAAAATTATAAATAGAATTCTATCCTAAACTCTACCGCAAATAATAGATTGTCCAAAGCAGGTTTTACAATTAGTAAGCAATTGTTCCGCGAATTTTATCTCACAAGCGTGATCTATTGAATGAAATACTCGGAATGAAGTTTATGTCTTGTGACGCGGACGGTTCAACATTATAGTTTGATCAGAAACCAACTGAGAGTGTGCTCAACTGATTGTGAGAAACGAAACGATTACCTACACGTGAAACTTGAGTCATTAAAGTATTGTGTAATTGTTGCGGGACAATTTTGCAATATTGCGACAAGGTAGACAAAATGGATCGTACGTTTTTGTACAAATCGACGTAAAAGCGCCAAATTTACGTTACATGCTAATAAAGAATACAATACGGAATTAATTGTGCTCATGTTTTTATGATAAATTTGAATAGTAGTCATTAGTCATTGCTGTTCATTGTAGCTGATTATAATAATTAATTATTGATCTATTTCGTACAAGCAATGTTTCATTAATGACGGAAAATTTAGAAAGTAATGTCGGCAATCCTAGTACCGTGCAATGTGATTCAATTAATAAAGTTTTGACTTAATTACGGCGCGGCGGATTATTTGAAAATATACAATTGACATTTCGCGTTGTACGCGTAGTACGCGAGTGAATAGATTTAATACAAGTCGAATTAATAAATGATCGGAATATTACGATTGTTCCATTATTCCAATTGCTCAATTATTTCGCATAACAAAGACAAATTATGTTTACGTCGATGAAAGATTCGAGGCGCGACCCGAGATACAGGTGTTCGGATTTAAGAATTTTTAAAGCAAAAAGTTTAGTCCGAAATACGAATATCACGAAACAATAATTCTGCAAGCAAATCGCTTTAATAAATCCGAATAAATTGTGCACAATATTTTGCTTCGATAAATAGCCGTTGCCTCCATAGATCGTTAATCGCGGGAGTTTATTAATTGCGCTGGCCAACAGTTATCAATGTTCGCTTAACGATTTATGATACGAACTTAATTACACGATATTTTAATATCTGTCAATTACATAAATTCGACAAGATTAGCAGATATCAGTAAGTCAGATTTTTTTCCGTGTTATTTCGATAGGATTCCGTCGCAATGTACCGGTAGTAAAGTGCTCGTCGTGTGCAATTCGAGAGTGCCGTGCGATTAATCTATTTTGATAATTAGTACGCGCAATCGTAATTAACGGTGCTTTCGCGAGTGCTACTTTGTGCAAGTGCAAACTCATGAGAAGAAGGAAGAAGAGGGCGGACGAAACCTGGAAGACACCGAGGCAACGACGGCCGAACGGCTCTGGGGCAAGTAAATTATTATTTTTCATTTTCACACTTGCATGAACAATTACTTATCATTATTTCATTCGCGTTTAACAACGGTTCTTTTATTAAAATGTGATTATCGAACGTCTCGCTCGAGATGTGAAACTTGGTTCTGATATTTATTACGCTTTTTTTTTATATGAGATGCACACAGCGCCTATAAGTATCGTATGGGAATTTAATTCGGAATATTTTATCCAATGCGCTCTTGAAACAACATTCAAGCAACGATTATGAATGTGGGCTCGCGTTTGATTAATGAAAGTAAAATTTCCGCGAATATCCCGGTTTAATATCTCCGTTAGTGATAATATTACAACGTGTAAAAACCGTGCCGGGTGCACTTTAGCATGCACGAGGAGATCGTCATAAATACGAAAGTAGAATCGCGTATTACGGGGAAGGGTGATAAACGTCGAATACCTCTTTGAAGGGCCGATCAGTGGTCAGGATATCAAAAGCCCCTTTGACTTCGACGATGCAGTTACCTATCGTTCCACTGTGCGCGCAAGCACATTCAACTATTTCCTTCCGATGAATAATCAAGCGTATCCGTTAACGTCTGATAGATTGAAAATTATAGATGTGGACGTAATTTATTTGAAAGCACGTGCCTAAAAGGCAAACGCGCGGCAGTACGCTATAATTAAAGTGCCAGCATTCATAGCGCAGTTAATTAACCATGTGAAAATTAAATTCATTTGTCACACATTCAGCCCAACTTTCGTCATTATCAACCGGCATTTTTATCAAATTTAAAAAAATTTCAGTCACACGCGCGGAACGAAACGTTTCAAAATATTGAAAATATTTTCCATTCTTGCAAGACAATTGCGTAAAAATTACGCATATTATCTAAGGCATTTTTTTTACACAAAGTTTTATGAAAGAGAGAGAGAGAGAGGGAGCTAAAAAAATATTCCGCGTAAAAATGTTCTATGATTTAACGGTATAGATTTTAAAGAAATTTAATACTATTTCAGTAGTTCTCGAAGTATGGAGAAAGTTGATAATTGGAAAGTCGATACGTGCCCGCATTATTAGATTTACGTAGTGAAAATTTTCGTTGCGCCTGTGTAAGCGCACATGTGAGAAGTTACGTGGTCGCCCGCGGACATGCTTAAAGCTGAAACATTCTTTCGCACTCGCCAATTTACAATTCAGGTACGGCTTGCGCGAATTTTTTCAATAATAAAATAAATGCTTGTACAACGGAGACTTGCGTCCGCTATTTATCGGCGTAAAAAAATTATAGAGCTCACCGAGTTTTTACATAAGCCCCCTCTCAATCTTATTTCAGCCAAGTTGAATTAGGAATGTTAGCGACCACGAGATGTTTCCGATCGGAAAGGTAACGCAGGGAAGACTCGAGAGACCAGGGGGTAACTTTCGCTTCTCGCCGCTTCCGTTTTCCGCCGCTATATTTCGCA